GATGATCTGTCCAGGTCCCTCCCGACTCAGTGACTCTATGATCCCGGGGGCATTCTTCCTGCTTTGCCTGGGGGCGGGGGGTGGGGGGTCTTGGGGAGAACCGAGCCCCCCCCATGCCACTTCCACCGGACCAAAATTTGTATGCAGGAGGGGGAAGAGGTTGCCAGGCAACCTGTCTCCGGTAGCAACGGTCCTGCTGCAAGAGGCAGCTCCATCGCCTGGGCGCTTTCTTCTCCGCTTACAATCCCCGGATCTGTTTCAGGCAGGCGGCTCCTCTTTCTTAAAGCCGCAGCGCCCCCTGCGCCCCCCTCCTGCCCCCGGGGCTGCCCTGCAGAGGAGTGCCTTGCAGGGGGATGGAGGGCAGAGGTGGGGAGGACCCGTATTGGCATCACACAGGGTGGGCTGGGGTCGGGCTGTGCCCACCACGTGTGCATGGGGGAGCTGGGGGCCAGGAAGGCCTGGACCGTGGGGGTGGGTTGCAGAACAGAGCATCTTGCACCCGGCTGGGAGTGTCCGTGTCACAGTCCTGGGGGTCTGAATGCCTAGGTCCTATCCCAGGCTTCATCAGGGGGCAGGTTGCTCCCTGGGTGCTTTGTGGCTGTTTCTCCCCTGCCCCTGGGGCTGGGAGGCAGAGGGATTCAGGGGAGGGGGAGCAGGGCTGCACCCCTGGCAGGGGAGCAGGGGGCTCAGAGTTGCTGTCCAGTGCTCTGGACAGCCTGGCCTAGCAGGCAGAAGCTTCTCCTGGGCATCGCCTGGCTGGGCCCTGCCTGCGGCGGCAGCAGTGGGATCAAGGGTAGAACCCAAGTGTCCTGGCTTGTGCTTCTCCCCCCACCCCAGGCCCTCTTCTGTCTTGCCCCCGCATGTGGTGCTGGTGTGCCCAGGGGCTGCCCTAAGGCATTCCCACTCCCTGCCCAGCACCAAGCAGGGCTGAGGTCTTTGCCCTCAGTGGTCGCACGGCTCTGCGTGCCCGCCAGGCTGGGAAGAGGGGTGCAGAGATGGCCCTGGGCATTCCCCATCCCCCCTCATGGGACTGGCACCACGTCCTCGCGGTGCTTGGCACAGAGCAGGGGCCCAGGCCCTCTTCCCGCGTGGCACTGCCGCCACGCCTCCTTGTTTACCCAGTGCTAGAGGCTGGCACTGGCCCAGGAGTGGGGGGGAGCTGCAGAGCTTGGGCCAGAGCTGCACTGGGGTCACAGGCCTGGCTGCCAGCCTGGCCTGGACGGGGACTTGCTATGTGTGTGTCTGTGCGTGCATGCATATGCATGCATGTGTCTGTGTGCATGAGTGTCTGTGTGCATGCAGCTGGGCTGTGCATGGGCATGCACATGTGTGTGTGCCACCAGGGGTATGTGGGGTGAGTGTGCATAGACGGGCTGTGGGCATGGGCATGTCTGTGCTCACAGCTGGGCTGCACGTGGGTGGGAGTATGTCCACGTGTGTGCTGCTGGCTTGCGAGTTCAGCTGGTCCCATGAGCCCGGTCTGGCTCGTGCCCCTCTTCACCTCTCTGCTCCCTGCCCCCCTCTTGCAGGGAGAGAAGAACCACGGCTTCGACGTGCTGTACCACAACATGAAGCACGGGCAGATCTCCACCAAGGAGCTGGCCGACTTCATCCGGGAGAGGTAGCCTTGATGCGGGGGATTGGGAGTGGGGTAACCCCAGGGCTGGAGCGGGACATTTAGGATGCCTGGGTTCCCAGCCATGGGGGCACCTGGCACAGGGTACTCCTGCAGGGATGCTCGTCTTTGCCCCCCAGGTCCTGTCCCCACAGGGCCGCCGGCAGTGAGGACGAGGACTGAGCAATCCCCGGGAATGGGGCTGAGGCCTGTCCTGTCCTGCTCGTCACACATGAAGAGGCTGAGGAGGGGAGCCCCGGGGGCCAGGCCTGTGCTGCCTGGCTAGACCTCGGTGCAGTCTGGCACTGGGTCGCTCTGCTCATGCCCCTCCCTTGGTCTGTCCCCAGGGCCACCATCGAGGAGAACTACGCAAAGTCCATGGCCAAGCTGTCCAAGATGGCAACCAACGGGACCCAGCTGGGGTAAGCGGGGCTGGAGATGGACCCCCTCCCCTCCTGCTGCACCCCGGCCCCCTGTCTGTGCCTCCCCATGCATGCATGCACATGCCTGCATATGCATACACACGCATGCATGCACACGCATGTGACCCCAGCCCTCCTGGCTGCTGCATGGACCCTGCACAGAACAGTTGTACAGTGATGGCCCCCCACCATCCTCCCTTATCCTCCTGGAGACCCCCCGCTTTGCCCCCCATCATTGCTGGCCCCTTTGGGGGGGGATATTGATGGGCCCAAGGCTTTTGCAGGGGGAGGAGGGAGGAGCTGGAGCCCCAAGGACGGAGGCAGGGCCTGCCTTCAGCCTCCTTCCCCCCCAGGACCTTTGCACCCCTCTGGGAGGTTTTCCGCATCTCCTCTGACAAGCTGGCACTGTGCCACATGGAGCTGATGCGCAAGCTGCACGACCTCATCAAGGAGATCGCCCGCTACGGCGAGGAGCAAGGCCGGGTGCACAAGAAGGTAGGAACCCCCCTCCCCCTCCTTTCCTGCCCCCAGGTCACTCATCCCTCCCCGGGCACAGCTCCAGTGCCCTGCATCCAGCACCCACCCTGGTCTGGACCCCTCGGGTCTCCCGCCCTGCTCCCCTGTGTGGGGGGACCCCAGAGCTGCCCGTGCCCAGCCTCCGCAGAGGTGCCAGGGGCTCCCCCCCTTGCTGGAGGGGCATTGGGAGACCCACAGCCCCTGTGCACCCAACCCCTCTGTGCCCCCAGTCCAAGGAGGAGGTGTCGGGGACACTGGAAGCCGTCCAGCACCTGCACGGCGTCACCCAGCTGCTGCCCAAGTCCAAGGAGCTCTACTACAGCAAGTGCCAGGAGTACGAGCGCCTGCGCCGCGAGGGCACCAGCCAGAAGGAGATCGACAAGGTACCGGGGGTGCTGGGCGGGTGCTGCTGGGCATTGCGTGGGCCCCCAGCAATGCCTGGGCTGCAGCTCACTCCCTCTGCCCCCCCCGCCTCGGCCTCTGTGCAGGCAGAGCTCAAGTCGAAGAAGGCGTCGGAGTCGCTGCGGCGGGCGGTGGAGAAGTACAACGCAGCCCGGGCGGACTTCGAGCAGCGCATGCTGGACTCTGCCGTGGTGGGTGTGGGGGGAGCTGGGGTGCCAGGGCACTGCTGGGCGTGGGGGGAGGCCGCAGGGTGATGAAGGAGGCAGGGGCGATGCCCCAGCGGTATCCTGGGGGGTCTGGCCAGACTCTGGCCCTGCCCCCCAGCCTGACACCCCCTTCCCCCCCATCTCCCCAGCGGTTCCAGGAGATTGAGGAGTCTCATCTGCGGCACATGAAGGGGCTGATTGGCTCCTACTCGCACTCCGTGGAGGACACGCATGTGCAGATCGGGCAGGTGGGTGCTCCCCCCGGGATGGGAGTTCTGCCCTGGCTCTGTATGCCTGTGCAGTGGGGGGGGGGTGTTTGGGGCGAGGGATGGGAGGCAGGTGGACATGGGTGTCTGTGGGGAGGCATGGGGCAGGCCTTGGGTGCCCACAGTCTCAGACCCCTGCCCTCTTCCCCCCCAGGTGCATGAGGAGTTCAAGCAGAACGTGG